CGTTTTTTCATGTTGCGCACCTTTTCACTACTGTTCACGTTGTCTGTAGAGTTAGCCTGGAGTTATTAGAAGAGCTTAGGAATCAGATCCAAGCCTTCAGTCAGATGATTTATCATAGCCTTAGAATCCTACTAGGTAACTTACTTCAAGCTAAACTGGCCCCTTATGCCAAAATAAAGGGGCTCACTCATGACTTACAGAGAAAACCAATAATAATAAAGTAGATTATGAAAGTAACTTTGCATTAAAAATTCACTTGTGTACCCAAACACTCAATTGCTTTACGACATTTCAGATGTTTAAGTAAACCTAAATTACCTCCGTTCTTTTAAATCTGCTCCTTTCATATAGTCCTATGTTTATTTGTGACCATATTATTTGCATTCTTTCTTCAGTTTATCATAGAAAACTTGTATAACATTCGATCGAACAACAGAAAATAAGTCGGACTTATCAAACCTTTATTTCCCCATTACAAATGATCAAGCCTCCTCGGTAATGTGCAATGTCTGCTCGCGTGCTTGTTCTTTTTCTTTTCTTCCTCTCCTATTATTATTATTATTATTCACAAACACCTTGTGGGTACATAAGTGTTGTGAAGAAACCATTTCGGGTTTCTTCAAAAAATGCAATAATACACAATTTTCAATAATGTCAGCATTATATTTGCCATTTAAAAAAATTTAGAGCAATAATAGTAGAATATTAATAATAATAAATCGGGTCTGTGCAATTGAGAAGAATATTGAATTTAGTTTAAAGAAGGAAATGGAGAAAATAAGGGAATAGAAATAAAGGAGACGTGAAATACGCAAACAGTCTAATAGGCGTGTTTACGAACACAGAACAAGAATAAACGACCATGTGTGTATCGTTAAATTAGTAACGAAAAATAATTAAGAAAAAATAACTTATAATTGCAGTAAGATATGACGCTAGAATAAATGTTTGTGCAGTTATAGTTTAGAGTGATGCTATGAAAGTTACAATTAAATGAAAAGGATAATAAAATATCAATATGTATGAGTCATATATGCATAGTGAAGATAAAACGGGTCTGAGAATTTAATTTAAGTGTAACGCAAGTTATTGTTTTAATTACAAACTTCGTAATCTTAAGAATAATATTTATTTAGAGGGAAAGAAGAGAGAAAAGAAGTGAACACTTAGTGAAAAGTTTTGATCCATGATAAGAATAACAATTGTGTAATGAATATCAACCTCAGAAGGAAACCAGCAATTGAAAAAATAAAATAAAAATCCGTTAAAGCACTCGGATGAATACATTTAGATTTATGTCATAGTCTACACAGTGAAACCGGATATTAGTATAAACATTTGTGCAATAATAATTAAGATTGATGCTATGAAAGCCAAAATTGATTTCAAAGGACAATCTGGAGTTAAATGTGTTTAAAAGGACAAGGAGATATTATTATTATTATTATTATTATAAGAAGCTTTATTCAACATTATACTTTTCGTACAACATAGAATTCTCAGCATAAAGTATTTCAACAAGTTTTTTTTCTTATACCTTGATCGATTGTGACGATAAATTTCGAATGATGACCAGTTAGATGTTAGGAATTCGGTAATCCGCATTTGATTAATGTTCATTCGTTTCAATGCATATTGCCAGCCACCATGATGTCGCTGATTGTACCTTTCTGTATCCCGTATAGCGAAAGGTTGTAAACTTTTCATAAACGCGCCCGAATAGATTGTGAGCACAATAGACATATTGATATGCTAAAACGAACAACAAAACAGATAACTTGAAGAAATATATAGATCGAAGGAACAGGTAGCCCAGATATTCAAGCAGGCCGCCGGACTTTGTGTCAAGTATGATTGTTATACAACACTGAAGATCCATATGCTCCGCATATGGATCCATCCGACGCCTCATTAATACTTCTAATATGTTACAAATAACTAGAATTTGTCATACCGAAAGCCTATTACAGAAGTTATCTAGAGAACACTAATAGGAAGCACCAAGTGTGTTAAAAATGGCATTTTTAACTTAAATTCATGAATCTACAGCAATATTCCTCATCGTAAACACCCCTGAATTTCATTTGCATTGTGTCGCGACCATCAGTCGTTCACTGCAATACGGCGTCCACAAAGCACCCTAACATTTACATTGAATATTCTAGTTTTAAAATCGTCAAGAATATGTAAACCACCGTTTTTCTAATCAAATTGTTGGTGCAATTATTATAACTAACAATTTGAGGGTCAACGTTAAGTATTTTAAGAGCTGCATATTTTAAGGGACTTATTTCCACTGCAGATTTTTCATGATGAGCTAAACCTTACTAAGATCGGCATTCCACTAGGTTTTTATATTTTTGATGGAAGAGGTCAAGTTAGCTTAAGGTTCCTCAACCACCTGGAGTGGTTGGCTTATGTAAATTCATAAACCTTGGGTGTTATTTTGAGTTGAACTAGTCTAAAAATTCTCCCTCTCAATGCTTATCAGTTTTTGCATCTGTTTCTTTGTACCATATAAGAACAGTCGTCAGTGTCTCTTAGAAGGGCTTCTATTTGTGTCAGAGCCTCCTGGATTCACTCCAACTCACCTTAAGCATGAGTTCTCTTACTTGGTGATTTCACTTTTTTTGGAGACTACTTTAAACGGCCTTTGAAGTGATTTAACTCGCAGTTTCTTTAATTTCTTTTAATGTTACCTTCCGCCACTTTTATGACAACAGAGATAATGGCTGTAAAATATCACTATTTGTTTTTGGTCATAATCGGACAAAAAATAACCCGATTTGAATATTCAGTCAGGCTAAACGTATTGGTCCTGAGAGTAGTTATTGCTGCACGTTGAATACTTAGTAAAACGTGGTGGTCATGGGAGAGCAGTACGAGGACATTATTAAGGCTGCGTAGCCCAGACACACAGAATTTCTAACTCCATACTACCATTTTTTCTTCATATGAAATGCCATTCGCCGTAATATTACATGTGTTGTTTGAAGATCTTTAAAAACCAGGAAGCCTCAACTTTCTCTTAGTGCGGATCAGTGTAGAATGTTATGTATTTTAAGTGCTGCGTATGATCGAGTGGTAAAGCCAGCACTTTCCAAAAGAGATTAGTTAGATACTTTATTGACCGTTATCGTGTGGATGAACAAGATGTAGGTTAGCCAGTTAAAAGTCCATTTTTAGATCTAGCATTGCAAACAGCCATTCAATAGATAATTATTCTATCATGCTTTTAACTCGAGTTATTAAAGAAGTATAACTGTAGTTAACATATAGATCTGTGAAAATACACATTTTTAAGGCTTCATGCATTTATAATAGCCTGTCTGGTGTCTCCCACAGTTGAGCCGAAGATGACTAAATGTAGTTACGCATGATTGTCTGATAAAAAGGTAACCTAAGCTTAGTTTTAAATAAATGGCTCGATGTTATTGCTCTTATTACTCACGAAACCTTATGAATTTTCAGGAATCACGTAAGTCTTTTCATCCGGATGAAAATATTGTTATGATCGCCACCTTATTTGGATCTGTTGTAAGAAATCTCGTGAATTTTGATCGTAAAACTTACCAAAATTTGCTGTTCAGCTTTGCCATTTATAAATGCAACTGATTAATCACCATGGTCACTGGCAAACATCATAAGCATATTTATTCAGCTATCCAGATGTGTGGATTCCTGACAAAACATACCACCGCTACTTCTGAATCGGTAGGTGGGGCAGTACAATCTACGATTGTAACCCGTCTGTTTTGTTTAGTTCTTCAGTTACCTTGATATTAAAAGAAAGTAAATAGTCATCCAACATTCTTTACAGATGCTCTTTTATCAGAGTGAGACTGCACTTCTCATCTATTCAGATATTTATTTTTAAAAATTACTTTTCGACAAACGGCTAGCCCAGATCCTTACTGATCAGACCGAACTCAATTTAACCCACTGACTTATCAGACGTAACATAAATGTACTTACTTTAGAAAACAGTAAGTACTTTTAGAGTCCTTCTTCACACTTTGGGTATTTCGTGGTTTCCTTCCTAATTGAGTGATTTTATGCTTTAGACTATGATCCTTCGAGCAAAAATGATATTCTTTTTTTCAGTTCGAATCTCATCAGCCGTTCAGAAGAAAATGAATTAAGTACAAAATTACTCATTAAGTGTCTGCTTTCAGGCTTCTAACATTAAAACGAAGCACTTAATGGATATAGTACTAGTGAATAAAATATTTTTCTTTGCCCAACGACTATAAGTAGCCCATACTGTCGCCTGTGTTATTATTGCTTGGTCCATATTTAAAAGTTAGAGGGATATCGAACAGTTTGACATATCTAAGCTCTAAGGTATCCAAAATTTTATTCAAAGGAACATATGGTTCAGCCAAGTGGCATAAAACTTATATGACACGAGTTCTTATATCTTGTACAATTAGTTCTTAAATTGGATCCCCAACAGACCGGTGTCCAGCTCCAATTAAATCATATGATGATTGTCATCGAAATATACATGCTGCTAACCCTCGTATATAATTATCGACCCACTTCGTGTTAGACAATAACGTAATAATATATGTCAAATACGTATATGTTGTACATCCGCATATCCAGACAGACAATCAGAGAAACGAAATGAAACGATGTGGAGAAGGTGGGTGTGCTAACTCTATTTGATCAAGCGTTATTGGATATTTATAGTTCGACCTAAAATGTTACAAACACGTGATGTATAGACCGAGTGATTAAAACACATAAGATCACATAAAAACAGTCAGGACTGACAAGCGAATGGCCAACAAGGTCAAAATGTGGCTTGAGAAGAGTGAATACATTGGCCTGTCCAGAAATTAGAATAACCTATGTGGACTGGACATAGTACTAGCCACTACATATCTAATTCTGTGAATTTTTTCTGAATATGTTTGCTAAATTTGAAGATGTGAGAGATCTTTTCAGTGGCCTGAATTGTCTTTTACGTTGCTCGACTTAAACATTGAAAGAAAACAAGATCGATTTTCGATAATTGAGAAAGAGAATACAAACTAAAACGCAGATTGTTAGTTGTGCAAAATATAGTTTGACTTTAATCAGTAATTCACAGAATATATTTGTCTCATTTATCGAAGTGGCTAATCTAAATATCAGTGTTACTTGAAGTGTTGAGCACATAAGTTCTATTATATCAAATTTTGAGCGTAAATACGACGCGGAATTCCGAACCCTTCAAAATGGCGCTAAGAGTACGTTCGCGTAACCCGTACATTACTTCTAAATTATAGGTTGGTGCACGATATTTCGGGCTTTTGACCAAACCCCGTGAAAAACCTGCATTTGTTAATGAGATCCAAAAGAAAATGGACAGTATGGACCTTGAGGGCAAACCTGGTGGGTTGTTGGCACCAATCAGGATTGATAACCCTAGAAAACTGGCTGTGAAAATGGTCGCATTTATGTGTCTGAGTTTCTTCCAGCCATTTGTGATAACATACTTGCACATACGGGGTGGATGATTCACAATATTGAATATTTGTGATCTGTAGATTATGAAGTTAGAATTAAAAGATGTTTGATCTTTGTGTGTTATTTAGTCCAAAATCTTTGTCCTTTGTAATAACCTTTTGGATGACTACTTGTAGAATACGTGTTGCATATTCACAACTTGTATACCTGCAAATGTTTAGAGTAATGCTCTGTTATTCAGTAAAGCGTTATCCCATGCATTTGATTTTTATAGCGAGATCTTAAGTTGATGTGGTTGCTACCCGTTATTCTTTGTACGCTTAAAACATGAATGCTGCCAATATTGTTAAAAGACCACCTCAAAATGTATCACCCGAGCCGCATATTAAATCACGACCTCACGTTTTTCTGTGCATAGTCCAGTTGGGATTCAAAAGCAGGCTGAAATGACATTTAGCTTTTGTTTCTTGTTACGTCTGTTTTGAAGTGACTAAACGTCAGCAGTCTAGGATCGGTAATTATGTTTTCTGCGCGACTTCCAGTAATAACAGTCCCCACAATCTCCAAGAAATGCTGAGACTATAGTAGTTTAGGAGGTGAAATGGGGTTGATAGTATCTTAACGATTAGATAAGCATCAAGCACACTAAACTATCTGGTGATGTAGATGCCAGTGCAATGTGAAGGACGGAGTACTTATCTTTCTCAACAATAAGTCCAAGAACCACGGAAGTTTTGAAATATAAATCACACGATCCACCAGTGTTGCGTCCCTAACTTAATGATTTTTGTAACGTATTTGTATCAATGCGTAACTTCCAACGACGGGTGCTAAGGTTCGTATCTTATCCCTACTCATGCTATTAATGTTTGCCTTTATTGTGATCATAGTGAGACGTTTGTTCGACACCTTTCAACTTGTTTTTGTACAAATAGTGGTTTGATTTTACCATACAAATGGAAAAACGTCCTGCGTAACAAGTGTGAGTTGATTCACTGAAAGTAAAGTTGCTCTGACGCACTCGACTCCTTAAGTATTTAGCGGTTCCTGCTCTTGTTCTTCCATTGAGACAGATGGTTTATTTTGTGAAATCGATGCAAGATAAATGATGAATCTTTGCTGACATACTTTCATGAACTGGTTGCTTTTGGAAAACCAATACCAATGTTTAAACCATTCAGGTCCACTTAATCAACATTCGAAGATCCATAGATCATGATCAATGCTCATCGTTTGGTCGAAAACATTAAACTGAAGGTGTCATCATGGGCGTGTTGAAGATACTGGAAATTTCGAGACTGCCTAACAGATTACCCATCCTTACCGTCGAACTACTAAACTATTGCATTCCTATGTTCCCATATTCAGGGCATCCTTTCGACTCTAGTTGTTAACTTATTTACCGTTTTCTACCACGATCGCATTTCAAGTATGATCCCGAAGTCATAGCGTTGCAGTCTAATAAACCATACACGTAAACTGACACGCTTGAGGTAGATAACAGTTGCACAGCTTGCTGTGTTTTATAATTAGAATGAAGGCCAGGTTGGAAGTATACAGTTGCAGAGCCAATAGAAGTCAGTACTATTTCCGACCTTAGCTTCAAGCTCCACTTTACCAGTTGTAGCTTAGGAAGCTAGTGACAACAGAAATTGGTATATACAAGGGTAGACAGATAAAGAAGTATTAATAAGTCGTTCTCAAGGTACCGATGTGCGTGCTAACCGCACCAGTATGATTCAGGCTGACACAGTATGACCAAGGACAGAATGTGACACAAGTATTCGGATAGCAGTAAGAAGTTGGATCACGCTTGTCGGCTCTAAATGTGGGCTGACAAAAGGTCAGTCGTTAGAAGTCTGGAATAGTTGCCAGGCGTCTATATCTGCTAATGGTTCCACTGAGTCTACTTTAGTTACTAGGTACGTACTGTCGTACACTTTTGTATCGCAACGACGTGTTACGTACGCCCAACCGACGATTTATGGTGTAGGAGTAGTATGGAAGAAAGCTAGGGGCCGCCAAACCAAAACATGGCACAAGTCCGTGAAGTCACTGACAAGTGTACTGAGCATGTGGGTGTAGACTACCTGGTTGGGATCCGCGAGGCGATAGTAATTGATGGTTAGAGACCTTAAGTGACATGGCTCGAAATCTTTCGCAATGGCGCAGGTGCACCCACTCTTAGCGTTCTTCTAAACTCTAATCTGGATCCTTATGTCCCCTTCTTTCTCTTTACAAATTCATTTCACTGAATTAAACTCCTTAGATAACATCTTCGAACCCTAATCTTTCCAAACACTACTACCTCCACCACTACGAGATTCGAATCGACCATTGTATCTGTGTGCTGATGTGGTGCGGCAACTCGAACTGATATAAGTACGTACGAAGTCTTACGTTCTTACTGACTGGTTGACACTTCTGTAGTGAAATTTATGACTTATGCGGACATTTGCTTAACTCGCGCGGATATTCATATTCCAAAGTTCCTTTCCTAGCACACACTAAAAGCAAACAGTTACGTTTTATGGTCATTTTATCTTAAGCTTGCTTACTAGGTTTTGATTACTTGAATGCCTAAACGCACTACACATCATTACGGTCGTTCACCAATATGGAGGCAGCAAGAGTCAGTTGCTAGTGAGAAGCTCTCCAATGACGTTTTAGAGATGTTTGCACTTTGTATGTATGCAATAAGCTTAATGCTATCTGTATGCACGCACATATCTCTCCCAGTCTGATTATCGGGAGCAAGATAACTAAGCACGACTAATCATTCTGAAAGCCTCGACAGCTTTGTTAAGTTAGTGGCTTAAAAAACCATTTTGGCTTCTACTAACTTACGTTAGCTGTAGTGTAGACAGTGTCGACTGTCCTATAAAAAGACAATGCTGCCCAGGTGTTGTAAATCCTGACCTAAAGGAAGTGACATGAGTGGGGCAAAATGATTAGATTAATAAGGTTTTCGGAGCGTTGCTTATATTACCAATGGATTGATGGTAAATCTAATCATGGAAGAAGCGAGAAATTGGGTTTATTGAAGGAAAAAAACGTTCAATGACTGGATGTAGACGTAAACCCAGTGGTATATACTTTCTAAATAAAGATCAAATCGTATTCAGTGCTGCTAAGTTCGTCTTAGTTTTTCTTACATGTAATGAAATGTTTTTGAATGGGTCAGATAAATATAGTTTTCAGTTGTAACTGAACTCATAGGGTGTCCAGTAGTATGGCGTTGATGAATTTCTAAAGTGGTTATTAGTATTATGTCGTACAGACATGTGTCTTACAATGTCACCGTTACATAAATTTAGCACGGATGAGAAATCGACAAAGTATGAGAGCTCTTTTATTTTGAACACAATGATCGTTTCCATTTTGGTGAAACTATCTACTACTGCGAACTGAATGGATGAAAATAAATGGGCTTTGAGATATAACTTATCAATCGAATATATATAAATATATGTACATATACAAGTTTATAGAGCAGTAAGTAATTTATTGTTAGGGGATTGCTGATGTTCCCACGCGATCTGATGACTCTGATTGGCGGTCCAGCTGCTCCTTTAATATTCGGTCTCGAGCAGCGGCCTTTTTGCCCCTTGTAATAGCTTCAGCGAATAACGCACAGAACAAACGTACTGATGTAGGGCTATCGTCGTTACCGGGCACAGGATAGCTAATTAATCTGGGGTCCGAATTTGTATCAACTACACCAATTGTTGGGATGAGCATCTTTGCCGCATCTCGTACAGCAGAATGTGGTCTGCAGATTGAATTGCAGGTGCTGAGAAAAAGGACTAAGTCAGGTAGCCTCACAGAGTCATGAAAAACATCCGATGAGTTTGTGAAAACCCCACCTTCCCATTTGCGGCAGTAAGAATACTCGCCAACATTTTCAGCAGTCCTTTCAATTAAGGGTAACATCTGGCAATGAAAGGATAAAGTAGGTTAAGATTAAAGCGGGCAGCGATAGAGTAGATTGCTACGAAGTAAGCTGTGTGACTTCGACTATAGTACAAATCAATGGATAATCAATATAGTTGCGGGGATATATGATGGTCCAATTTGCCATAACTCACACCGAAACAAAAAGATGGGCATGGAGCCGGATGCTATTAGTAACATGGAACCAAAAAGTAATAAGCTGCAATAGGAAACCGGAAGCATGTAATAGTACGATGTTAAGAACAGAGGTCATACCACTATAACTTTCTAAGTATCACCGCTTGAATTATTCAGCTACAGATTTTGGATCAGCCTATACGGATAAATCAACCACAAATAAAGGTTCGGGATGAGGATGCAACGACCCAGTTTACCACACGTTAATACGTCAATAAAAATGACAAGACGGGAAACAAATGAGGAAATAATAATACGAACGGTGGCGCAAAGCTGACTTCACCGTCGGACCTTGCGTCTTCTGCTTCTAGTTTAGCCGCTTCCCAAACAACGTGTAGAACTCCCAGGTATATGTTCCAAACAGTATAGCTCGAAATATAGTGAATTCAGGTTGTTCTGCCATATTTGTTATTCTTGCCCTAAATAGATTCACTAATCGGAAAAGTTGTATGTAATATAGCTCGGTTCGCAAGTTAAGATAGACAAGCCAGATTACTGTGTCAAAGTAACGTGTGCAGTCGGGTAGGGGAGATTAGTGTTTTCATCGTTTAAAACAATACATTCTCTATCAGCATGTTACTATACACTCGTTTATCCCAGCTGCACTGCACCTCTGACAACATAGTAATTATTATTTGTTTATAAACTCACCTAAGACAACAACCTTAATGGTAATTTTTCAGTTATTAACTAAAACTTCAGTTGCAAAAGACGAGTTGATCTACTTACTTGTTTATTCTGGTACATAAAAAGTATTATTCCTTGACGGTAGGCAATGTGAGCCGCGAAATTAAGTGCATCAAACATCAAAGAACATGTCTGTTGTAGATCAATTATGTCTACACCTTGTCTACAACCGTATATGTATGGCTTCATGTATTCATTGCGTAACGCCGATCGGTGACCCAAATGAACACGAGCTTGGAATAAATCCGTAACATTAACCAAGTTCTTAAGACCAAAATAATCAGGACAACTTAAAGGATTCTCGAAATAACTGGGATGTGAATAGTTGTTTTGTTTGTTTTTCTCAGATCCACTTGTAATTATATTTTTCCTGAGGAACAAAAATGTTTCTAAAACCGCAATAATGTATTAAAATATATCTCCCAACACTCTGAATAAGAACAACAAAATGATTAACACTTTATGACTGGAAAATATCGAAATCAAAAAAGGTAACGTTTAACATGTGTTGTAACTATTTCAGTCAATAAAGAACCAGTCTGCACTTCCTTAGTAAACTATGTCTGACCTCAGTACTACTAATTCGATTATTGCACCATGCAGCAACAATGTTTTGGAGAAGTCCTTGG